GGAACAGACTATACCACGACATGAACGGCGTCTCAGAAAAATGAAGCAGCAGAATGCGTACGTAGGTGCCCATTTGTTACGAATTTGTGATATAACCCTGACATAGGCACAGGCGGGACCAGCGCTTAATGATTCTGTTGACCCATCGCTCCGGTCTCAACAATCCGTCATGCGCGCTGTGTTCTGGCATCCAGTTGCAGGTTTCGGTGGCTCACATGCCCTGCTGAGAGACAAATCAAGAAACAGCTGATGGCTTGGTAGCCACTGCCTCTATTTCTTAACCTCTGGTACTCCGAAGGTAGACAGACTGACAACAGATCCCGCCAAAAAAACATTGCACGTTAGAACGCAGTAAAAGGCAAGTTTGTTATCAAGGCAGCGTCCCGGAAAATGTATTAGTAGGGCTGTGAGATGAGCAAGGTGATACAAGTAGTTAGTGGTTGGGTTTCTTGCAGGTTTAGCGCACAAGACTTCCATGAGAACTTGTTAAGGAAGTCCGTTAGAGGCATTGCTGATCCACCTAGACTGGCATACAAGCAAGGCCGAAAAAAGCGACACTGGCGAATGCGAATGTGAAAACATGCGTAGATGACAAAGGATTTATTTGGTATAAGAAAATGGTATCTCTGTACAGGCAAGACTGTATGGGTGATTTTCCGTTGAAATAATGGTGGCATGAATGCAATTTTGGTGGCGGTGGTGGTGATGTCCCGCGTCCAAATTAGCCCTGCAATCAGAGAGGTTAGTTTTGAATGCAGGAAATACACCGAAATGATATGATACTTGTATAAGAGGGTGATTTCTTAAGTGGGATAGCTTACCGTCCTGGGACGTAAATATCGCATTTTGCTAAAATGCTTGCGTATTTTTTGGCTGCAAAACGCATTTAATAGTAAAATAAAAACATTTTAGGAATTCCTAGTAAAAATAGCTCAAGTCAGACGATCGAAATCAGCGTTTGGATAAGGAAGAAGACTTGTCGAGCACCGGATCAATAGATTTATTGTCC